CTGACTGCACCATTAGCAGTGCAAATCTCAAATGTGTTTTGTTAAAATTCAAAAATGTTCAAAAGCCAACCATATTTTACACAAGAATTCCCTTACGATTAAAGGGATAGTTCACCAAAAAAGAAAATGAATCATTTTTGCATTCAATGGGGTCCAGTGTTGTTTTGGAACATTTTAACTTTCATTGAATAAAAAAAAAAAAAAAAAAAAAAAAAAAAAAACTGAAACACTCTATATTATTATGTAATATACTGTATTCTTATGTCTTCCACCTAAAAAAAAACCCGTCATGATGACAGATTTTTCATTTTTGGGTGAACTAACCCTTTAAAGTATTTTCTTTACACGTGGCAATTGTCAAGTTAGCGCTTAAGCATACCTTAATGAAACCCGGGGACACAAATTAGACAAATTATCTCACGGAGATTCACAGGAAACTTGACAACTGAAAAGACAACACTATCTCTGAGTTCTGCGTCTTGTACGACTCTCCCATGTCATGTTTTTGATAGCCTCATTACAGCCTCACCTCTAAAACCAATTTGCCTGTGTCTGTAGAATCACTCTCATTACACACTGGGTAAGCACGTAGAGCGCGTGCGCGCCAAACCCCTCAAAGCCTAACACACCCTGTTTGGGAAAAGATAAAATGAAAGCATGACTACAAAGAGAACGTAGGATGGCCGAAAAAGGCGGCAGAGAGCTAGAGAGAATGAGTGGACGATGGCGACTCTGTAAACTATCTGAAGGACGGAAGATCAAATGTGAGTTTCGTGATTTGACGGCACCCACCTGCCACAGGACCACACCACTGCACAGATTAAGGGGCCGGTATAAGGGAGTCATGGGAGAAGAGGGAAGCCAGGAGCACAGGCAGAGCAGCAGATGAGAGAGTGGAAAAGTGGGCTGCTATGTACAGGAGGGGGTTGGGATGAAAAGAAGCCCAAGTCAGGGAACACCAACACCACTGGCTTGACCTGGGGATGACTGGAAAAGGCAGGAATCCAATTAAAATCACACCCCATCGGCCTGCACAGCCACCACCCCCTCACCAGGCTGACGCAAATTCACACTGATCCTGCTAGATGTGTCATTTTGAGCAGGTGGAACGCAACAGACATTGAGATCATATAGTCCTGGTCACACTTTGAGGATGCAATGGTGAAATAATCTATGACACACGATATCTGTAACATTAAAGTATAGAGTGTGTAGACGCATAAAGAAAGTTGAAGATACTGTAAATTGTCACATATTATAGACAAAAATGCAAACTAACCTTCGCCATACATCCTTGTTGCTAGGCAGAAAGCACTGTGAAAAGTGGTAGAGAGTAGCAGCGACATACTGGTGAGAGGAATCATCTCATTCACAGTGAAGGAACCTTAATAAAAATCAGCTAAAGGGTGTAGTCATCTAGATATTCATGAAGAAATATCATTGTTCTGTACGATACTTTTGGAAATGCAAAGATGAACAAGGGACATTAAAGAGTTTAAGAGAGAGATCTAAATTCTGACTGATGAAAATGCACACCATCACTGCACTTGCTAGACAAAGTAAATACAGAACAGACTAAACAGAGACACTTATTCTGGGATATTCTCATATAATAATTCTCCTGAAAGTTGCTTTCAGAGAGTGAATCTATGATACAGGAAAATGAAAACAAAACAGTTTGTTTTGTTTACATATATATATAAAAAGGAAAACTTGCTGTTTTCAATGTGTCAATGCAGTTAGACTAAATAAGTATTTAAGATAAAAGGTTTTTTTTTATTCGCTTTAAATTTTGAAAGTAGATTGGGTTTTTACTTAAGAAATGACCAGTAAGGTGACTAAATGGGTCAAGTTATTGGTTTAGGAGTAGGCTAGGTTTAGGGTCAGTTCTTATTATATTAATTACAATAAAATAAAGTGCTTGTATAGATTGCATGTATTACTATGGGATTGCAAGAATGTAAAAATGAAGCTAAGGAGGAGTTCCGCATCTGCTAATACAGTGAGGTTATAAAGGGAGTGTACGATAGTATCCAATCAGTCTTCACATACAATTTTGTCATTTGATTTCAATCGCAGGATAGTTTGAGGAAGAAAGATGTCAAAATGGACAAATTAGAGAGTCTGTAATGTAATTTTCCAATTATCTATTAACAGCAACACTAGTCAAAAATAAATTAATTCTAAAAGAAATGCACATTTTTTTTAATGTGATCATTAATGTGATTTCAGTTGTTTTCAGTTACATTTCTCAGCTAATTTTGAAGCCGTTTTGTTAATGACAATATTTTTGTCTATTTCAAAATCATACACACTACACATTTTATTTGTGCTGGAAACAAGTGAGATTCCAAACACAAGACGATCAAGGTAATGATTTTTACGATTGCAATTTACTCAAATTAACCATAAGATTTCACATATTAGCATTTTGAAAGGTATCATAATTTTATAGAAGACAGGATCAGTTTGGACACATGCGTTACGCACCAAATTGATGCAAGTATCTCTATGTGTTAAACATCCTCTCTAATGACAACACAATTAACACAAGTTTTATATGGTAAATTTGGAAATACAGTATCTCATTAAAACAAGATATAAACATGTTTTCCTAGCATCAATCACAAATACCACAACTTCCTGTGCTCTCTTTTTAATTTCCTGTCTTTTAATTATCCAGCAGTTTAAAATAGAAATTAAGAATTTCTTGCAAACTTCACATTCACAACAACTTGCTTTGAACATACCGCATCAGTCCGGCGCTGATGGTATGAGGTTTCAGTGGAGAGACAGATTTACATTTGCCCTATGACCTTTCTAAGGTTATTCACAATAGCTAAATGAATAAACTGAAAAATTATGTTAGAAGCCACACAGGGTCAAAAGCCTTGGTAGCCCCCCTTTTTCCCCCAGTTAAACCTATAGGGTCTCTTTTTCTCATGCCTCAAATAGTCCCCAAAAACACAGGTTCACTGTATTCTGTGGTCACCCAATTTTTCACCAGTTTCTCTCTATACGTAGGTTATAATGATTGGTGCCTGAGGCACCATCCTTGACAGTGGGAACTGGGCTCTTAAACTATGAATTAAATTTATTATTGTAATAACCAACCAGGAAAGAAATTAGTCTTTTAAAATGCAATACATCCTAGTCATTTTAGCTGCTTCACTACTACACTATCCTCACAACTACACACCTCACAGTCACAACACCATACACACATGCACAAAAATCCTGGCAAAACCAGAGCATAAAATAGCATAAAAACTGCAAACTATCTGAGTATATAACAATAGTTATATAACAAACTATATAACAACCCTTGCATCTCAATATTCCATCAGTAGCACTATACAGAAGGCCCCAAATTTTCATCTTTGCAGCCTTTACAGCCTTACAGTACATGTTCAGATTTTTCAAAATATACAGAATCAATACAAGAAATGGGGACAGTACTGAATTTGAGCACAAAACAGAAAATATGCAATAGCACTTTAGTTATGCAACTGGTGTACTGAAAGTGCTGTGAAGGCTAACAATTTGGGTTTCAGTATGTGCATTAACCTAACATTTCATTCCTCAATACCAAACTTAATCCTTTTCCAAATTTGCCATTTGGTTCTTAACAACAGAGGATTGCAGTCAATTTGTATTTGACGGAACAGGATTTGCGCTGAAAACCTACACATTTGTACAATAAGCAACTTAAGTAGCCTACGTGCAGGTAGAACAAGGCCAATATCCTCGCTCACAACTTATTCATGCCCTGTCATATTGCACTGCAGTTTTAACAATAAAGTTAATAGTGAACGAAATTATCGTAACAGTTCACATAAAAGAATACAGACACGACGAGTTAAACTGACTGTTAAATTGGAACCTGACGGAGTTCATTTGAGGTGACTTTGGCCGCTAAATCGCCTTCACTGAAAACAATTTCTTTCTCAAAATAAATATTTTGGACATTGCACAAGTCTGAAAGTCGCTAAAAGTAGGCATATATAAAAAGCCTATATACATATAGTAGGCTTTATATTTTTTCTTTTTTAAGTTTTATTAAAAAAAAACACACACATGTGGTATCCGTGAAATTAACAGGCACAGATAAAATCCAAAAGCTTTACTGAACTCACGCACGTACGTTTCCTTTGAGAAGCATAAAGTTTAAATCACAAGCCTGATCAAAGAGAATAGAGATACTTTAATGAAACTTTGAATGCATAATTAATTGTACAGTATACAGTAGAATCTTAATTAAACAATTCTCATGAAGGGGACTGATGTCTGTTATACTAGAATTAGGCTACTGAGGTATAAAATGCACTCAATGTGTGGCGAGAAAATCTTAAAATAATATAAAGGCCGCGTCCAGGCAGGTTCACCTTCACACATCACATCAAGACAAACGATATATTTTTTTTTTTTCATTTTAATAACCTGCGACCAACATTTAAGCGGTGACAGAAACTACATATAAATTCCATGTTGTAGCTAGCCTACTTTACAAAAAAAGATTCACATGTTATTAACTTCATGAATAACTTTTCAAGAGATAAATCTCTCATTTCCACTATACAACACATACGGAGGCCCTGCCTCTACAGAACCTCAGAATACGCCATTTTTTCTGTGCAGAAATAACTTAGGCTACTTTTATTATTTCGAAATGTATTCTACTCCATCTGTTGGTATCTTGTTTGCAGATATTTTATATTTCATATCTGAATTATATTTTGGCAACTTATCTATACTTTTATAGACATTTAGTAAAGGTTAAATAAGCTATTTACAGTTTAGGAATATTCACCGTCACCGACGTCTCACCAATACAAGAACATACAACAGATAAAGCTCACGTAGAGTAACAAATTGCACTATCCTATTTTATAAGCCTGTAGGACAATTTTACACAAGGAGTAAAACTTCGGCTGTCATCCGTCATGCTTTAACACGCCGCGTAGGCCTACAAGCCCGAATCACAGACATTAGGCTATACATCAGTTACAGTGTTTGGGTGAAAATGTGTCCACGGCGCTATGACATGTGTACCAGCCATTTACCAGACTTTTTTGAAAAGGTGAGTTGGACGTAAAAGTTCTATGGCTAGGTGGGAAAGTATGGCTTGGTTGGTTGCATGAGTATTGTACAGACTCGGGTCTGTAATTGCCCCGTTGTAGCAACAGAGGGTCCAAAAGGGACTGTGGCCTGTGCGCCGTATAGTCCAAACTGTTTTCAAAGGTGTGATGGAAACGTGACCTCATAGTCGACTCATTTCGCGTCTCAGGAGACAGAGTCTCTTGGGAGGGAGTCGTCATCGATCGCGTCACTGTGGTAGAGGCGGGTGTGTCTTGCTGTTCTGCCACCTCAGGAGACCTGGCCTCTACAAGGTGCTCGTCGTCTTCACCGATTTTGGCAATGTAGGCCTTGCAATGAAGTTTCATGTGTTTGCGCAAGGAGCTGGGGTGTGTGTAACATTTTTCGCAGCCTCTGACCTTGCACGTGTAGGGTTTATCGCTGGAGTGAACGTGAGAATGCTTCTTCCGGTCACTGCTGTTTGCGAATCTCCGATTGCAGCCCTCAAACTCACATTTAAACGGTTTCTCACCTAAACGGGCAGAGGAGGGGGAAACGCGAGTTACGGGTGGGATGTACAGTCAACCATGGCTCATCAGTTCTGAGTGCATGGTGTCATTAGATGTGTTATGCAGGATGTTGTAGCAAAAAAAAGTGTGCTGCTCCACACATTAAACAGTAGCCTATAGCAGGCGAGGAGAGAACTTTAGACAACACTCTCGTACAAGCAAAATGTGATAAATGGGGAAAAAAAATCCATTTAGCCCTATTTCCCCCCTATCATTCTTAAAAGTGGTATTTTCCATTCAGTTGTTTCCATGCAATGGCTGCTCATTCAATATGATTCACACTAGCTAAAACAGACTTAGCCTTAGCTTAACTTATTAATGAAGCGCAAATGCATAGCTACACCTCAAATTCATTTCAGTAATAAATAAGGAACATTAAATTAAGAACAAACAGATTAGGCTATTATCATTTAAGTTGAATTATGCCATAACCAACAGTTGGCTTCTTGGTAATTTATGGAATTGTGTCAGTGATTCATTTTCAAATTCTACTTAAATGCTTTCAGTGAACAATAATAATTCTTAATATCCGTCTGTTAGTCGACCTCATTCATATTTTTTATGCGTTATTAGCCAAATATTAATTCCTATTTTAATTGATTTCTAGTAAAGAAAAAATAAAGTTAACTGTAGCTTTATTACCCTAATTAAACTAATCGATATATAATTTCCATAAAGGCTAAATCATACCTTATGGTTAAATAAATAATAATATAAAAAAACAGTATTGTGGAAATTTATAGTGATCGTAATATTCTAAGGATTACTGTGACGTCAGTTTCAAGTGTAGTGGTCTCAAAGCTTGCAGTGCGAAGCACGAGCGGGTGCACTACCATAGCAGAGAATTCAGCTGCGCCTTGCGTAAACGCTACGTCACAGCTCTCCGGTGCCCTGGAATTTATTTATTTATTTTCACTGCATGAATGAGAGGCACCCAAACAACTGGCCTGTGGACTGATTTTCGCCAGCACGGTTTATAAAAACGAAATAAAAAATGATTCCACTAATACGAACAGCAAACGTTAGAACGAACAGTGGGCTACATTTGAAATGAATAAATGCTTTAATCGCCTCTTAATTTTAAGTGTTGCAGAAAAATTATTAAATTCTATAGTGTGCAAAAAATCTACATTCGTTTTTATGCCGAAACGTTTTGAAAATAAATTACACATGATGGACCACAGTGTCAAAATCCGTGTTTATGTACAGCACAAATTAATTGTAAAACTATACCGTTGAATATTTTATAACGTTACTTTGGGATCAAATAATCAAACATATGATTTATTTATTCTGTCCTGGCAATTCTTCATTTAAAAAAAATGTGTTGTAGCAATGTTAAGTAAAACACTTTGAAAAAGATTTAGAAACAATTCCAAAAGTCTGAAGCCTATCTTTATATTATTGTTATTATTATTATTATTTAACTAACCTGTATGCGTTCTCTTGTGTATCTTGAGGTTTTCGGATCTGGCAAAAACTTTTTCACATCCATGAAAAGGGCAGGGAAAGGGCTTTTCTCCAGTGTGCACTCTGACGTGGTTGACGAGCTTGTATTTGGCTTTGAAGGGCTTTCTGTCTCTTGGGCAGTTCTCCCAGTGACAAACGTAGTCAGAGTGCTCCGGTCCTCCGACATGCTCAATCGTCACATGGGTGACGAGTTCATACATGGTCCCAAAACTCCTGGCGCAGGGCGGCTTGCCAGTGCCTTCTTGGCCGTCACTCCACTTACACACGAGCTCGTGCTTCGGGTTCTGCCTGGAGCACCTGAGGAAGGCGTCACCCCCTCCTCGTTGCATGGCCATATTCAGTGGCTTATAGAACTCCAAGAACTGTGTGACTAGCTGCTGGCTGTTGGCCCTGGGGCCATTGACCGACTGCCCATACGGGTGCGTCCGTGAGAGAAGATCTCCGGGAAGACCCAACATCATTTGGCTGCTGAGATCTCGGGTTCCGTCTGACGAGCCATGGGCCTGCTCTTGATACGTGGTGAAGAACGCGTGGCTCCTGCCATCCCTATAGCTGTGGAGGTCACGGTACCTTCCAATATTGCCATGTTGGTTAGGTCTCGGAGCCAGCTGATCAGTTACTGGTGGCATGCCTGCTGCTGACAGATTTGTCCCAATGATAATGCCCCTAGGACTTGGTTCTAAGCGATGACTGGTGTATCCAGTGTCTGGAAAATGGGTAACCGAGTGGTCAACATATGCACTGGCCCTCGTCTCGTGGTAGTCTCGCAAATTTTGTGAGGGGCAGAGTTTTAAGGAACTGCCAGTGGGGTGCCCCATGTGCTCCTCTGCCAAAGGTGGCAGCACCATGCTGGGTTCAGTATTGCTCTCCCCAGGGTTGACGCAAGAAAGAGGGCAGCCACTAAACCGCGACAGGCTTGTCATGTTTTGTTTCAAGCTTGACTGAGGGTTTGGCAAATCAACCAACCTTTAACGTTTACGATTTACCAACAAAACTCTTCCCCCATTTCCCCCGCTGTATCATCTGCATGTGCAGTTATTGCCCGTAAACCTCTCAGACGCAGGAATCGGACCCAGGTTCGTTAAGATTGGTGTGAGTCCCATGCCGTTCACTTTGCCCTCTTGATTTGTGGCAATAACCGTGGTAGTAAAATGCTCCGAACCAGGCCATACTGCAATATAAAAGCACAGCAGGCAAACCAGCTTTTAAAAAACGGTGCTTTGGGATTGGTCGGAATGCGCGATGATTGACAGTCCCTGGATTTGTTTTAAAAGGGACACGCAGGCGTTCACCACACGACTCCGTTTTTCAAATATCTCAGTGAAAATGCTTTGATATGTGCCGCTCGCGCACTGCCAGATATTGGCTCATATGTGACTTAAATGCACCAGAGTTCCGAATGAGTATTGTTGGCTAAAATATCGAAATGTTTAAATTACATATGAATTATTAGAACGTCTGAGCTACGAATGCTATGCAACTGTGTGATTTCAACGTCGAATTGAAATACAGGGGTTAAGAAATCAAATCAAAATTTTCTTTCAAACCACACGTCTCTCTCATTCAACTGTGAATGTCTGTTTTACTATTCGATATTATGGTTTAACTTTAATTAAATAGAATATACTTTGGTAATACTCGGTCCATAGTACTGGTGTTGTTGGTGGACACAATTTTTCTTTTTTACCACCAAATATATACTTATTTTTGCAGCATATTGTAGCAAGCCAGTTGAGCGTCTATAATTCTACTTGCAGGTAAATATTACACTTACTTCGGTTAAGTTAAATGCGACAGAATCTAGATTTTTTTTCACTCTGTTTGACATTTTTCATGCAAAGATGTAAACATTAAATTACAATTTATTTAAAAATATCCCATATTGTAAAGTGTCCTTCCTCATGTGTAGGTGGTTAGTTTAATTTATTTAGTTATTTTAGTGAAGAAGAGATGCATTTTGTGGATTTACTTAGGCGTGCATTTTTATCGGATATTTTTCTGGAGTTGCAAATCTGTGATAAAATGAACAGAATCATTTTATATATTTTTTTAATGAACAGATACATTAAATGCATTAATAGTAAAAATCAATGCATATTAATAACATATTAAATACGCAAGCAAATATGATTAAAAAAATACAAGCTTTAGGCCACAATAAAAAATAGGCTACTGGGTCAAATAATACCTAAATATCGCATAATAGCTAAATATAATCTTTTTTGGCCATGGAATATGAAAGAGTTAATAGACTTCTGACATTTTAGGTTACAAAAATGATAAAAAAGTTTCACACATTCAACATTTACAAACCACAGATGATCTGGTGTCAATTTAGGAGGAGATTTATTCACCTGTCAATATAAAATGACAAAAATGAAAACAGGTTTGTGGTGTATGTTCTCACCACAAATAATTAACTTGTGTTAAATTTGTGTTTTTTATATAATAATTAACAGTTTGCTTTTGTAAAAAGAATGGCACAGCATCAGTGTGTGGACATCAAACTGAATACCTGGTAGAAGAGCCAATTCAAACGTTTAAATAACCACACAAAATGTTAACATGATAGGTATAGAATTTAATTATGTGAATTAAGTTTTAGAATCTCAAAAATAAAATCTTTGATTACATGTTGAGATACTAATCGCTCACTTCACAACATTTTTTTAAATCAAAAAAAGAAATTAATATACTTCTTCTGAAGACTCTCTTCCCTTTGAGTGGGCACAAGCTTGGGTTATTTACTGATATAATTCTTCCCACACATGAAGGTCTTGGATAGAGTAAACATTACAAGACAACAATATTTACTGAGGTTACAGTCACTGTATTCACAACAGTCAAAATTAAGGCATTATTAACAGTCAAAAAAGCATTGTTGTCACTACATTAGAGTCAAATCAAACATATAATAAAATGAAAACCCCAAAAAGGCCAAGACTTGTTACTTTTGTAATGAGTCCTAATGCAGTTTTCAGATAAATGACCATGATATCCACCACCATAACAGTGACAGATATTATTTTGTGCAACAAAACGGAGTCTTCTCCCACACAACACAGCAACTCTTCCTGATTAGTATCCTGATTCATATCTTTCTTTTTTTCTTCATTACTAAAAGACAAAAGGCATTTTTACAGATATTCCTTACAAATAGAACTTTCAGAATTAAAGATTGCCAATAAATGGGTCAGTGCAAGAATATTTAAATGAGAGAGAGAATGAGAGAGAGGTGCATAAATGAAGAAATCAATGACCATAAGAGAAAGGTGTAGTAGGACAGTAAAAATAGCTTTTTTGTGCTCTATCAATTCAATAGGCTAATGGTCCCTAAATGACACACATCTATAGTTCACAAAGGTCACAGACTGGTCTTTGCTATACCCACAGTGCACAAACTACATAGTCAACAGTCTAATATCAATCCCAATGCATCCATAGTTGGTAGCATGGTGGTTTACAGATATCTTAAGATAATTCAATTGAGAGGTGAGCTTATTACTGAAACAAAATAAGATATATTTAGATATGTAGAGCATATGTACTTTTGCAAAAATGTAAACCACTTCTCTTCCTTGCATACCTGTATTAGGCCATAATGTTTGTAATTGCCTTATTTTCATTTCCATATCCAGGCAACAATAAAGCCATACATTGCCCCTGATATGCATGTGTGTGTATATATATATATATATATATATATATATATATATATAGGTTTGAAATACAGAAAAAGTATTCCTCATTGCAGTGAACTTATAGCAGGTGTTTAGCTTAACAGGTTCAGGGCCAAATGTCGGTAAATTTAGATGGGCAAATTAAGCGGAGAATAGACAAACTGAGTGAGATATAAGCAGAAAAGCACTAAACACAAGGACTCTAAAATACTTTCTTTTTTTAGTTTTGGGGTTCGGCATATAGCACAATAGTCTATCCTGGTAACGGCAGTTTGCATTTAATAAGCAGATGCATAACGCCTCGACAAATTAAATTTCTTGTCATTTATGCTAAACAAAGTTAACAAATTTTATATAGACACATGTTAATTGAAGGTGCCACGGTTATCTCATCAGTACTGATTAAGTGTTAGAGATAAACAGAACCACTCCTCCACAAAGCTGATAGAAAACAGGCTAAAGACTTTTGAATGTTTAACAGATACGGAAAAAGATAAAGCAACATGTCCGCAAAAACACACAGAACGAGAAAACACAGCTAATGTCTCAAGGGAAGAATAATGATTTAAACCACAAAAATAATAAGCCTATATAAAATTAAATAAAACAATTTCCCTAAAAGAAAGGATGACGAATTGGTAGGTAGGCTAAGTAAGTTTTTATTTTTATTGCTATAGTTTAATTTTGTGTATTTGAATAAATGTAATAAATTTAATGTGAGATTGATAACTGAAAAATTAATCGACAGGACATTAACTATAGCAGTACATCAATAATTCTCAACGACTCTATGATTGGTATGATTGATAATTGTTTAGCCCGAATAACCACCTATTAGAATTCAGTGTGAAGTTGTTTCCAGGTAATTCTGCTCTAACTAAAAAAATAAAAAATACGAATGCCTATCTACTCAAGGGGGCGGCAGATATAGAATTATGGTATTATTTTGACAAAACATTATTTAACTAACTAAAATAGGCTAATCGGTCGCAATATAGCTCTGTTCTATGCAATTATAGCCTGTAAGTCCTTTTAATTTGCTGTGGTGTAAAGTAAATAACGCACGAGGCCCCCTTGAGTTAAAAGCGAATCTTGCCCTCATTTGCCTTTTGGTATGCATCAGAGTTGTAGGGCCGTAAAGAAGTTAAGTGAAGTAACTGAACAATTCCGTGCATAGAGAAAGCAAAGCACGTCCTTAAGAACTTAGCTATTCCTTAGCCCCGCCCGGAATGAATATGTCACATTATAATATATTAAGTGCGTCCCCATTTAAACAGATAGGCCTGAATCTAGAGTGGAAAGTAAAGAATCCGTGGCCTATCTGACTGCAGACAATGAAACCTTTAAAAAAAATCGCCGTAAATCTGTCCGACGCTGCAGAATACTCACATGTGTGCTCGTGTACGAAAGGGAGAGTAAGAGAGAGAGAAGGAGGAAAGAACAAGACATCGCAGAAAGGAGGGTGGGGATAGAGCTTGCTGGATATCTATTTTGCTAGCAATGTGCTTTAAACTTGTGTTGTTAAGGAAAGTAAAGTTCTTTGGCGAGACAAAAGTGAAATGCATATGCTATTCTAATAAGCCAATGAACCATTAAACATTTACTAGGCTACTACGCTTTATTAAAAATGTAGGCTATTTATTAGAAAAATAATAGTTTATTGTATTTTTTCTTCTAAAACACGTAAGGTCTTATGTTACACGATTTAGTATGTTACCTGAATAAAACATGAAACTGATCAGAAATAAACTTTTAGGCTAATCTACATCTACTAAAAAAAAAAAGACTCACCTTAAAAACTTAGACTTAGACAAGGCCTATACGCGTTTTTCCATCGTAGAAAATGTGCAGAAAGTGAATGCGTGATAGCTGAGGACTAGACCAGAATGTGGGTCTGATTTAGAGATTTTTGTTTTTAATCTCTAAAATATAAAAGGGAACTCCTTCCGAGGAGAGATTGAAGGGGAGAGGGAACGTGAAATGGCTTGGAGGTAGCCTATATAAAGCACTGCATGAAACACTCAACGCGTCTCTGAACTTGATCAGATTTTATGTGTCCTGCAGCGAGTCACCAGCAACCCTGTGAAACTTCCTCAAAAGCAAGAATTTTTGGCGCCGTGAAAAAAAAAATCCTCGGGATAATATAATTACCATCATATTTCTTTCTCTCTTTATTCTTGGGTTCTACGCTCTGCAAGTACGCTTTCACCTCTTACGACTTAAAAAAAATCAGAACTCTATGCATGGAACTCTATGGATGCATAAATGTACATATGAGATAGATAGATAGATAGATAGATAGATAGATAGATAGATAGATAGATAGATAGATAGATAGATAGATAGATAGATAGATAGATAGATAGATAGATATTCTCACTTTTCTTATATTTTAAGTCTTCTATTTAAAGAGATTCAGCAATTGTTTATTTTGAGAAAAATGGTCAAGCAAATCCTGAAAGTTTATGTAACTTTGGGAACTCAGCTGACATGCTAAGCTCGGGAAATAAACAAGCCTTTTTTTCCTGAATCGAAATAAAGTCCCGTTCCTTTACCTGCACATAATGCCAACAGCAACCAATCAAATCTACTCACTGAAACGAACTGCCATTTTCAATACTAAACCTTGCCAATCAACGAACATGCAGCCAATTATCGCCCTTCCTACCCGTCACGTGACTAAGAAAGCGCTGTCCTTTCATTGGACAGCGTAGAGCTGCTTCCCGAGCTCATTTATGTGCAAGGAGTGAGTGATTGACTTTATCAGTCCAAGGACATCATTCGTCTGGAAAGGGGGGGAAGTTTGATCCTCTTTCTCACGGATCCCAGTTACGGGAGTTTTTCCTCCCGTTTACCGAGACCCGGGATTATCATTTCGTTTTTCAATTCAAGATTTCTTTATTCAAGCTTACGTGAAATTGTGCTCAGTTTACCGTTACCCACTTCACTCCATCAAGCTGGGGTTTTTCACTTTTTTTTTCTTTTTCGCTTGCTTTTTCTCGATTGAGCCCAATGACTATGCTCCTTGATAGCGCTCCTCAGTTCCCGTCACTAGGAGTAGGGGGGTTCGGAACGCCTAGACACCATGAGTTGGGAAACCGAGACCCCGGGCTGGGGCTTAGTCCCTTCGCAGATTCATCTCACTCGGCTGCCTTCAAGATAAGTCCCGTTACTCACGATATCGCCTCAAGCCAGACATCAGCGTTCACCCCACAAGCTACTGGATACGCAGCAGCGCTCGGACACCACCATGGAGGACAAGTTGCTTCTTACGCCGGCGGAGCATTCAATTCGACCAGGGACTTTCTGTTCAGAAACCGGGGCGCAGGCATCGGAGAGACCGCACCACCGAGTGCCCAGCATGGAATCTTTGCCGCTTCTGGGAGTCTACACGGCCCCCCCGGAATTTCGGACAACCCGGGACATCTGTTGTTTCCTGGACTTCACGACCAGAGCGTGAGCCACACTTCACCAGGAGGACATGTTGTAAACAGCCAAATGCACCTGGGTTTACGCGGGGACATTTTTGGCCGTCCAGATCCGTACCGACCTGTGGCGAGCCCTCGTACGGACCCTTACGGCACCGCTCAGCTCCATAACTACAACCATCCCATCAACATGAACATGGGGATGAACGTACCCACACACCACGGTCCGGGGGCCTTCTTTAGATACATGCGGCAGCCTATTAAGCAGGAAATGTCTTGTAAGTGGATAGACGAGAATCAAATGAATAGACCTAAAAAGACTTGTGACAGAACTTTCAGCACAATGCATGAAATGGTGACGCATGTTTCGATGGAACACGTTGGCGGCCCAGAACAGAGTAATCATATTTGCTTCTGGGAGGACTGCCCGAGAGAGGGAAAATCCTTTAAGGCCAAATACAAACTCGTTAACCACATCCGAGTGCACACTGGAGAGAAACCGTTCCCTTGTCCGTTCCCCGGTTGTGGGAAAATCTTTGCAAGATCAGAAAATCTTAAAATTCATAAAAGAACTCACACAGGTAAGGCATTTATACCCCACCCCCACCCCTCCTTTTTTGGAAAAACAAACGTTTATGTAGGCTATATGTAAATTATGTAGGCTATGCATGAATTGCAGTTCTTTCATAAATTTAGGCAATACAATTGTACATTTTCTTTTACATTAATTTTAAAGTAAATATAAAGTTATTTAACATGGAGAACAACTGCCACTAGTAGCTACTTTAACTACACTTTAGGTTTGGATGAATTAAATACATTGGTAAAATGTTTGGGGAGAAAAACTCATTTTGATCTCATATAACCCCTATACTAAGAAATACTAAATTTCTCTTATCTTTTCGATTGAGGAACATATATTTCAAATGTATATACATTGCAACTCTTTGAGGATGCAAAGCTGCATGGTTGTGGAGCGAAATTGTGAATGGACTGTCCTCTTTCATTTGTCCTGATGCTTGTGGCTATAAAGTTGGTAATTGTGCGGATTTGTGTATTGTGGGTGCATAAATAAAATGCTACACATTGCTCTGGGAAAGTATGGTAGAAGTGCATTTAGTCTGATTAGCTGGATTTGTGCCTAAAAATGACCCCTTTCGAAATGTAAAGCAAGCTGTTGAACAAACTAGCCAGATAAGAAAAGTGTAGACAAATTAAGCAATTGCTATGCAATTTACACGAAGATGCATTGCGTGTTGATTAAAGATGCTTGGAAAGTAAAATAAAGGATAACAGCACGGACTCTCAAAGAGCGTGATATGTGGGTAACTAAACCATCTGGCGTGAGCGCACCATGGCCTATTATTTCGAAAGGCATATTACATAACTGAAAGTTGTGCTCATCCGCTCTGTGAATAAAAAGTTATATTCCTAAAACCCCAGTGTTTGCTCTCACTTGCAGGTGAGAAGCCATTTAAATGCGAGTTCGACGGCTGCGACAGGCGCTTTGCGAACAGCAGCGACAGGAAAAAGCACATGCACGTGCACACATCTGACAAGCCATATATCTGCAAAGTGTGTGACAAGTCCTATACACACCCCAGCTCTCTCAGGAAACATATGAAGGTAAGGGGACATTTTCTGATTTAGCAGCCAAAAAGAATTCATTCAAATAAAGTTGTTGTTTTTTTAAAATTGTGAATAATAAAAACCCCTTAGACAGGCCTAAACGTGTCATGGATTATATGGAGAATGCGATCAAATAATTTTTAACCAGGCTTGGCATTGTTCTGTGTTTTGGTTCACAAATGTATAACAGAGATCAGAAATCATTTAAATCATAATGTTTAACCGTACCATGTAAACAAGTGTGTTATTGCCTATATGTCATACATCTATGGACGTTATAATTTAAGGTACACGAATCACAAGGCTCAGAGTCGTCTCCAGCTGCTAGTTCTGGATACGAGTCGTCCACGCCGCCAGTGCTGGTTTCTGCGAACACTGAAGACCCGACAAAAACACCCACGTCTGCAGTGCAAAATACATCTGCACACAGCGATGGACTACCGCCTAATTTTAACGAATGGTACGTTTGAAGCTCCAAGCAGACTCTCAAAAGGTGGACCAAAAGGTTGAAGCAACCTTTAAAAAAAACCTATATACGCTATGGCGTACAAAATGGCATTGAAACAACAGGAAAAGATGAGTTCGCCAACAGGCCTCGTCTATTCTCAGGATTCGAAATTTGACTTTATTCCGAGTTCGAAGAAAACTAGCAAGGCATTAAATAACAAAATAACACTTTCTAAGAATAAATGGGTTTCCTTTAGTTTTCAGATTTCAGATGATTATTTTATTTTTCATTTTATGTATTTTCTGAAAAAAAATATTTAAAAAAATAATGGCAAAGAAAGAATATTTCACGGTGTTTTATATTAAGGTGACACTCACATCACCTTTGATTGATTGTTAAAACTTCAGACAGTCTTAAGAAACGTGCCAAAGTCTTTGTCTTGAACTTGAACAAAAAAATAAATCATAAATAAGTATATAGCCTACTCGTGAATGTATTTCCTTGTTTGATGGAGTCAAATCTGTTGTCCAAGTCCGTTTTCAGGTGGAGAATGTGGTATTAGCTTACGATTGTTACCTTTGAATATAACGTTGCCTTTGTTAATAATGATGTAAATACATATCCATGATGCCATATTTATCAATTTGTAATTTAATTATCGGCGAAATAGCCGAATCTTAAATGATATTTATGGAAATGTTTTCTAACAAGACTGTACAGTTTTGAGTCAATAACCAGTTTTAACGATGAAAAAGGGAGTCGGTTCTAAAGTTCCCACGATACGATTGTATCTTTTTTAACCAATAAATGTGTCTTATCTGGGTCGTAAAGTATTAATTATATTAATATTATAACATGACATGAGTTTTAAGTATGCATTTTCCAACGTTAAGTTTACGTGAGGACCGGTATAAAAAGAAAGAAAAAAACCATTGGGATTATTATTATTATTATTATTTTTAAATCACTGATGAATCAGCCATATGAGGTATAGACTTTCTGGTTCTTATTGATTTTTCCCTCCTTTACTCTTAGCATCAGAGTAAAGACTATATCTCTATAAGGAACACTTACAAATTCGAGAGGCCACTGACCAGTGTGAGCAGATACACAATGCAATAGCTATCATTCATGCATCAACTTTGAACTCGTGTGACAGTGTTAAAGACATTAGCCTATATTCTTGGGTTTATGGTACAGCCATTTGAATCAGTGTAGTATTCCATTTTTGATGGTTCAAGAACTGTCTTTGTGGATGCAAGTCTGTGTTTAATGTTTCAAAGAGGAGCAATGATCTGTCACAACATTCTCAAAATAAAACTTTCTGTCTGTCAGTTTGCATTGTTTTAAATGTAGTTCTTCTGTGAATATAGTGTGTTGTTTGTTATGAGTACTGTGGTATAACATATAGAAAACTTTGATTACACATTTGCTTGTTTTATGTGAATAACCTTTCCAGATGTAGAACTGTATGTGTGAATGAAATTTAGTATTAAGATTATTAGAACTTTTTAAGGTGGAAAAGTAAGGGAAATATGTTGTTCAGTGACACCAAGAGTTACAGCATTGCATTGTTACATATTTTTAAGAGACTAAAATTATGCATATAAATATATTGTGCTTATGAACATGATTTCAAACCACCAGCACTACTTTTTGTAAACAAACGTTAAAAAAAGTACCTCGTAAGTAACGGTGATATATGAATACGTTTATTTAAATAATTTAATGAATATATGTTTTATATACTATTTTCTATACGTTAAGTTAAAATAAATAAAGATTTATTTCAGCCACCTTCGATGTATATTCAGCCCTGATCTTAGACAGATCTAATGTACAAATGAAGCTTGAATGTGATTCTGTGACATTTTCTCGTGGAAATGGGTCACGCATCAAGTTATTCCTGAAAAGCACATGTTTAACTGATGAACTGTGTCACTGTGCCATTTTCGAGGCAAACGATGTTACTTCAACATACCTATTCAGAATTCAGCAAAATCTTGTACTTTCTTTCGAAGTAGCGTTATTGTTTGTTGGTTTGTTTAACAAACTATTTATGACAAAATGTGAACAAGTTTTTGACTGGAATTAAAACAAATCCTGAAATGTCACAAATGAGGACCTCAGTTTTTCCTTTTCATTTATTTCTTTGCTATTTTTCCTCTTGTTCTAATTCTAACCTTGAACTTAAAGCATAGCCTACGCCTTACTCCAAAATGTACGAAGCAGCAACCCACTTGAACTTGACAGTAACATGCCGCCATTTTAGCATCTTGTTTCTTTGATGGACGAAAAAGTTTAGAATTGTAAAGCGTTAAGCAGCTAACAACTGTTTTAAGCACATGATTATCTTAGGACCTATGTAAGGACCTTGGATAGTAAACATGCAAGAAAGCTGCTAAGTTTGTTTCAAAACATTCTGCCGAGATACGCTAAGCCATTCTCTCGATGTCAATTATGTAGGCTGGGCTTGGAAGACATTCATTCAAAACAATGCTGTGGTAAAAACAATACTGCACCAGTGGCAGATTGTACATTTTATTATTCCACTGCATTATACATATTATCTCCTAATGATTATCTCAATCAAATTATTAAAATATATAGCCAAACAGTATAGCATCAACTCAGATATTGCTGCAGAATTTATAGGCTAAAGTATTTTTTTAAATATATATACACACACACACACACACACATAGCCTACATATACCCATATGTATTTTGATTTATTTTTTTACAAAAATATATATAGCCTAGCCTAACATGTAACCTGCCATTTAAAAACCTTCATCAATTAAAGGATACGTTGTGAACGCAATATATTTTTAAACTGACTGAAGTTTACGCTTTAAAGCCTATAAAGGCAACCATTATTTTTTGGAGAACCTGCCGGGCTCTTTTTTCTTCCTGGCTTGTTATGCAGTATTTTAGACCAACCCCCATAGACTCCACCTTCATTTCAAACCCACCCCCATCTTCATAAACAGTTTTTCCAAATTCATTTAAACTGATTCGTTTCTGTTTTCTGCGCAAGCGCACATTCTTCTATTTCAGACAACATTCTTCTCCCCATCGGCTCGAGCCTATCTGACATATGTGGTGACGTAACAACATGGCGCTGGCTATTTTGCTGAGGCACACCGACTATCAGAGCTTGACTAAATGAAAGCACTCGTTCGGTCTCATTTTAAAGCTGTTGAGAACAACTAAAAGTATAATGTTAATATAAGTGAATGTTTTGTCTTTGGAAAATTTTCTAATTAAGTATGAAAACGATTAGAAAACACGTCGGCACTGTAGTCACGTGGCATAAGTTTGAAGAGTAGCGGTTATTAGTTGGGTGAAGTAAAGCATTTAATCTGTTGTAAATAAAACGCTGGTTTTACACAAGCAGATATACGAAATGTAATACAGGATTTTGGTTAAATCAATTAGGTTTAAGTAATCGAACAGAAAATGTTCTAAAATAGGCTACCACTTGTTTTATCACTTTAAACACATTGAGATAAGAATTTAGTAAGTATTCAGGTGTTTATGGGTTGCATGCGCATTCCGGCTAATAGTAGCCTACTAATTTAAGGTTCTTTCCCTAGTCCTCCCTGAAGCCACACTCAATCTCATAGCTTTGCTGGCTAAGCGGGTGGCACTGTCTAAGAGGATAAACCGACACGAGCCGGTTCCAAACGCTTTTTGTCACGCAACTGCTGCGCGGTCATAATAACTCATGAGATGAATTACCTTGAACATGGCGTGATGTAGTCAGCACGTTTGCGTGAGCTAGCTTATTAGTTTTCTCACGCGTAGCCTAACTTTAATTTTAAAACATAAGGAACACATAAAAAACGTCACTGACTCATCACATATCATCACACACTACCAACCCTCTTATGCAGACATGAATTCACTGCGATCAAACAACTGTATTCCATAAGGGATGCTTTTAGTCAAGGTAAAGGATTTTCAAGGTTCCGCTGTGCTAGTGTACGCTACTTAAAAAAATTGATACAAATTATATATAGGCCTATATAGCCTACACACACACACACACACACACTGTATGCATGTATATATATATATATATATATATATATATATATATATAGGCTATATATACACACACACACACACGTGTGTGTGTGTGTGTGTGTGTGTGTGTGTGTGTGTGTGTGTGTGTGAGAGTGTGTGTATTATGTGTGTATAACAATATGCTATAGAGTAACATAAAAAAGGTATAGCCTTTTACATTGTGAAAAATAAATTTTCGCTCTATAGGCTTTATTTACATAGAAAAAAATGTTAGATGTGAAAATCTCGAACTCCAAAGCTTATGTAAAATACGCTTTAAAATAAGTGAATTGGGCTGTTTGTCTTTAATTCGCTATATTTACCAAACAATACAACATGTTTTGTGGAAGCTAGAGACAATTTGCACGTCAATTAATCCTTTTCAATGAGTTCCACCGATGCTTATTCATCTGCAGGAAAAGCGATGAATATGCAAAGGTGCTCAATATGACTGTTAATCCAGGATGTGCCCTTTCAAAATCTACTTTGGATGTGCTGCAAGTCCATTGTAATGTTAAAGCAAGGTAACTGGAGCCATCATTTATCTTGATGTTTGCGTTTAAATTGATTTACCCTTCACATCCCTGCTGGAATGGAAAGGGGGTAGATTTTTCTGTTACTTTAAACAGAAAAATCTACTTTCTGGCCTTTCCTTGTCGTTTTGTTGTGTTAGTGGACATTTTAACCTATGGCCTGTATCGCCCTATTTGCCGCGGGATTGTTAGCCCACAAAGATAAGAAGTTATTACTGAGATGTCATATATTATAAGCACGTGCGAAACAAAAGAGAAGTGAGGATGAATTCCCAGAGCCAAAGGCTACTATCCTGGCCTATTGAAAATTTGAAAATTTACGTAGATGTTTAAGAACGCTGCGAATCCATTTGCACCTTAAAAAGAGCGAGTCTCCAATAGTTCTTTGCAACATCACTGTCTTTGACTGAAGGAACCCCTCATTTCAAAGTTTGTCAATAAGACAATAAATAAATATATCAAAATAAATTAAATTATAAAGGAGACCAGGGAGATTTTCAGCGGTTGTTTCAGCGCAATTCTTTGATAATTATCAATTTTTTTTATTATTATTATTATTATTTTTGGATTAAGCAATCCAAGGTGGTGCATTAATGTCCGGGTTTGGAGAAACTATCCCGATCCATTGCTACATTAATTTCAGTTTCATAACATTTATCTTATCGTGCAGACATGTTCATCATAAAAAAAAGATGGTGAAGGCACATGGAACCAAATTAGCCTAAACATTAAGCTCGGAATTGACCAATATCATCATATTATAATAACAGAGAAGCCTGTTTTACATAAAATGCAAGGGAATGATCTTAGTTTTGCTTAGAGAGAAAAATCATGAGATCACGTCAATCTATCCGCCAACTAAATTGTTCAGTTCAGCTGGACCATTAGAAATGTGTATATAAATTAATTTCACATTACCAATGGCCATATTAATAATATTAGATATTTACATTAATATTACTATTTATCATTAGAAGTTGATGTCCATTGTCCACTGGTTTGTCATCATGCTGACTCACTTATCAAATTAATGGACGACTAAGGGAGTTAAGGCCTGAGCTGTGCCATCATTGCATCAGTTAACACCTGCAAACAAGCGCCAGGGACTGCAGGGGGCGAGAGAGCAGGTGCTAGTGGTTGGTGTTTGGAGGCCTAAATTAATACGACTAAAGCAACAAAATACAAAAGGCAAAATCATTGGGTCAGAAAGTATCAGGTCTGCTCCA